GCAAATGTTCCACTAGGTTAAAGACGGACCTTGTCTTATACTTGTGAAACCCATGAATTAGGCTGTTATTGATACTATTCTTCCTAGCTTTACACGTGACTGCGTTTTGTAAATGAGAGATTGTTTTCTTTGTTTCGGCCTGGAAGTGTCTTAATAATAATAATAATAATTCCTTATATTTATTATAGCGCTTTTCAATGACTCAAAGCGCTTTACAGATACACATTACACATACATATCATACATACATGTCATGTACTGTGGACAATACCCACAGGATCGAATTCAGGTGAAGTGTCTTGCCCAAGGACACAACGGCTTTACAGACGCAGCAGCGGTGGGTTTCGCCCCCTTGATCTGATAATCAATGCACAGCCCCACTGCGCCACATCTTCACACCTCGAAGTCATCAAGGCGCTTTACAAGTACACATTGATATCATACATGTACTGTGGACAATACCCACAGGAGCACATTCGGGGGAAGTGTCTTGCCCAAGGACCCAACGGCGTGACGCAGTGGCGGCGGGAGCGGGTTTCGAACTGGAGTTCCCCAACGCCCCCTTGATCTGATGATCGAACGCACAGCCCACTGCGCCACTCCGCCCGTCTTAAGGGTTTGTCTCTGGACTAGAAAATGCAATTGTAGTGAAAATGTTATCAAATTTCACAAGGGGAGGAGTTGGAAATTAATCTGTCAAGCCCATAATTCCCCCTACTTTTACTGCTATAATCAATTTCCGCTACAGATAAAAATAAATACTCTGGGCTTACTTCAGGTTGGAAAATAAGTTGGTCAAAATATATAAATAAGGGCCTCCCTCCCTCAGCAGTTAAATGCCCTTGACAGGTTTTAAGAGACCGCTCGCACAGATCCATAGAGACCAATTAAGGGCAAAAGTCAGAAGTAACTAACTTTCTAAAAACTTGACAGTTAGTGTAAAAAACTTTTTCACCACAGATGCTTTGATTTAGCAACCAAACACACACATTGGAACATTTGTGTGTATACAGGAAATTACATGTTAATTTCCTAGCCTGCCTACCTGTCCATTTATCCGCATGCTCCAGTCAATACAAGCAGCGTCTGCTTCATGCTCTCCCTTGAGAATTTACTGCCATTTTCAGGGCAGTTTGATAGCTGTCATATAGCGACAGTTCTGTGACGATGCTGAAGTCTTGAAACAGTATTTATCAGCACTGACTGACACTCAAGAGAAGCCCAGGCACCCAGGAGACAGACGGGCACACAGACAGACTCTTTAAGTTGATACTTTCTAGACATCCACTCTTTTGATAATGATGGATAAAACTATCATGGGCTAAGATATATGAAGAGGAGAATGATGAATACTTATCAATCAAGGCAGGATTAGAAGCCATAAAGTGCAGCACCACTCCTGAAGGAATATAAGATGTATCAGTTTGTGATAAAACAAGAGAGGTTTTGACTGGTTAGTTTTCGCTGAATGTAAATTACACTGACTGTTGGATGATCCTTATCAAAGCAGACACACATCTGAGACACTGACATTCTTTTGACCTTGAAAATATTAATCAATGCCGGCTAAGTTTTTGTTGAGTAAGCATTTTATTTGCCATGAATTCTCTTCATGTTGAACTTTAACACATGCTTTCAAAGGGGCTTTTTTTATGCTAATTCTCCGGTTCATTTGTGTTTAATGCATCTACTGTGACATGTTTACACGCTTTAATGTTCAAAAAGTCTTTATTTTTCTCATACTGCGCCTCTTTTTACCCTCTGTCCAGCAGGCCGGCTCTGTTGTGATTGGTCAACTACTTACGCCCCTTAGCCTGTTACTTACAATGTGTTGAAGCGCTAGCCAATAGATATGCGAGGGTAACATAGTGATGTCACTATCCAACAGAAGTAAACAAAGGAGTCCAACGCGACTCAGGCAGGGGGGAGTGTGTGGGAGATAAATTCAGCTCTGCACTTTTAATACTTTTTATATATTGGCCGAAATGAGAAAAAGGGCAAGACAGGAATTCTAAGAAATAAAAATAGGAACACAACAAGACTGAGAAAAAAAAACTCACTGCTATTTAATTTGAGCAATTTGTCCACTTTTCATCATGTGTGAAAGGGATGGAGGCTGCTCTCCCTCCAGAGATGTCTGGGTTCACATAAAAGCTTTCAAATTGAATTGTTGTTTTTGGCAGAAATCAGAGAAATGGCCATCCAATGATGTTGACTATTGATGTCTCTGCCAGGAGACTTCACTCGGCAGCGGGGATAAAAGTTAGCCCCAGCTGTCTGGCGCTAGATTCGGATCTTTCAGTGTTGCAAATCTTCTGAGAATATTTCAGTTACATCATGGAAACATGGGCTGCTCACTGCTTTGACCATTTCTAATTTTTACATTACTCACTTACATTTGTGTGCAGTTAAGACATAATTCCTTCCATAACGACTTTTTGCTCATACAAACTAATTTCTCTGCCCTCTCAATTCAAGTCTTCCAATTAAAGTCATTATCCCCAAATAGATTTTCAACAAATTAAAGTCAGCCCCCCCCCCCATCATGCTTCTCCTCTCCATTAATCTCTGTGCTCCCAGCTCTGCAGCTGACTGTAAGAGTCAGCATTACAGCACTCTGTGTGTTTTAGTGTTTTGTTAGCACTAAGTGAGCAGATGGAGGGCCTCAGGGATTGTGTATTTGATATCGAGCCGTCCATCTATGCTACATTAGCTAAGTGACTTGAGCATGCACTTGTGGAGCTCTGCGGAGAGGAAGTTGTGCACGTGTTACAGAATCTTAGAGAGGAAAGTCTGAGTTACTTACTATACACAATAAGTGGTGTTACAAATGACCAATGTATTCTCCATTTCTTTGTGTGTGTTGCAGATTTGCGTAAGCAGATGGAGAGCTTGGAGCTCAGAAACCAGAGGCTGAAGGAAGTGTTTCAGAGGAAGATTCAGGAGTTCCGCACAGTGTGCTACGTCCTGACCGGATATCAGATCGATATCACCACCGAGAACCAGTACAGACTCACCTCAGTCTACGCAGAGCACATGGACGACTCCCTGCTCTTCAAAAAGGTACCACACTTCACATTTATCTGATGCTCTACTTTAATGCTAATATGACAATACTTTGGTTCTATCAAGAACACAGTATTCACACAAAGAAAGACCTAAAAGTTATGTATGAGTGTGTTCAAAAGTAAGTAAACTTTTGAACCAGAAAAACACCATTTGAGATGATTAGAATGTAACCATTGACAAAATCCCAGAAATCCAGTTTCAAATAACTTACCGTAATTTTCGGACTATAAGCCGCGCCTTTTTTCCCATTTTTCGACCCTGCGGCTTATATAACGGTGCGGCTAATCTATGGATTTTTACAGCTAACGGCCACTAGGGGACCTCCTAAATCTATGGATTTTACAGGTTACAGTCCACCACCTTTAACTCTATGGGCTCTATGGCCGGTCCGCGCCCCCCACCTTTAAGCGGCGGGTTCCAGCAGGAAAAGCTGGAGGCCGGAAAAGAGTGAGACAGGTAGCGCGCAAAAGTAAAAGTGGAACCGAGAGTGGTACGAGAGACAGAACGAGAGCAAGACAGACAGACATTACGAGAGCGAGACAGTTTGTCCCCGTACCACTGGTTGAAAACCACTGCTGTAGATCACTGCCGGTACGTGCGCTGGGAGCGCACCGTTTAAGTTTGAAAGTTGAAAAGTTTGTGTGTCTGAAACGCTATGTGATACAGTACAGTTTACACAGCACAGCACATGTTCTGTAGCTACTATTGCACTAAATGGTAACACTTGAATACGTTACGCAAATATGCAACTTGTTTGTTGAAATGTTAATAAATGGGAGCTTCCTCAAACAGCCATCTCTTTCCCGACAATCCCCTCTGTGCACGAACCCTTACATATGGTTATTAAACATTAAAACACCTACGGCTTATAGTCCAGTGCGGCTTATATATGTACACATCATTCAATTTAGCTGCTGCGGCTTATATTCAGGTGCGCCTTATAGTCCGAAAATTACGGTATATCATTATTTGAAGTTGTTCATGCTCAGTCTTTAATGCACATCTGAGCATGCACGCTCTTTGAAGNGGAGGGATTGAGGTCAATCACTGGCACTTTTTTATTTTATTTTAAATGGTACAGTACACTTTATGTTGAACTATTTATTATGTTGTTGGTGCAACTGGCACTTTATGTTGAACTGTTTATTGTTTTGGCCAAGGTTATTGAGAGAGTTGGACTGAAATTGATTAGATTTTTTAAATCAACTGTTGGTAAATCAACAAAGTCTGTTATGGCCTCTGAAGCAACAGAGAGATGTTTTCTAATAGTCAGGGTTTCCAATGTTCTGAATGTACTTGAAAGTATTGTGTTATACTTAAAAAACAAAGTGTTATAGTTTACAGAAGGTCTACTACCTACCTGAATCTCTGAAATGTACTATATTCCTAAATATGCTATTGCTACACTTTATGGCAAAAATTGCACTTTTCTGTTGGTCTTGGTTAAGTACATCCTTGAAAAAAATAAACAATGTTTTGTTGCTTAAGCTTATGTATTCAGTCATTATTCAATGGTATACTAAAATCCATGTGAAAAAAATTGCTTCTCACTGTTCTCAGGTCAAATATTTATATGTGATAAAAAATGCGATTAATTGCGATTAATTAATTACAAAGCCTGTAATTAATTAGATTAATTTTTTTAATCGAGTCCCGGCCCTACTAAAAATGCTAACTTACGTCCGGGTTTTTACGACGCGTCACTGCGGTTCTCTATTGCACTTGACATCCACTAATTTCATCACCTTTTAGGATAACAATTTGACCGTGTCAAAAATAAATTACCTGCTGCCCCCGCTAACAGAGCCACACGCGAACATAAAGTCTGTAAGGTGACATGTTGTGAGGGATTATTTTCTCAGCGACACATCCATCCCTTTCTGCCGTTGTCAGCTGATTGACAGCAAGCAAATCGCACTGTGCAGCACTGAATTATTAAAATGGTCTTCTTTGTTGCACTGGTATAAGAAGTTACCAAAGCCTGCGACTAGGACAAAAAGGCACTATGATCCCCATAGTTTGGAGAAATATTTAGTTAAAGAAAAAATAAAGAGGTTAATAGGAGAAAAAAATTCCCTTAGTAAAACATGAAATAGTCAATTAACAGTTGTGTTGTAATGGTTAATTAATTTGATCATCAACATTTTAACTTTATTCTTGTTATAAAACTAAGTCTGATGTACTGCAGCACCTCTTTTCACCCTCCGCCAGAAACTAGAGCCCAGTCTGCTCTGATTGGTTAGCTGGTGGACTCTGTTGTGATTGGTCAACTGCAGGGGTGTCCAAACTGCGGCCCGCGGACCATTTTGAATCGGCCCTCACTCAGCAAATTAAAAAAGTATAATGACTTAAGTATAATAAACTTCTGCTTGTCTTACTGTACTTCTTAAGTACTCATGTATATACTCATGTATATACTCAGTATTCATGTGTAAGCCCCATTCTCAAATATATTCAGTCAATTAAAGTTGAAAACAAGTTGATAAGAAAAAAGCCCAATAAGAAACTCACATAACAACCTTGAAATCTCCCCTTCATATTTCCTCTTATTATCAGCAATCTGAAGCTTCTGTTTTAAGGAATGAGCTGCCAACACAATAAATGAAACCCTATGGAGAGCTATGATAGAGGCTGTTTTTTTCTTAAAGTATTTCAAGTATCAAGAATAATTGACATTGGATTGACTTTTCCAATTTATAACAGAACTTATGAGGCAATAAACGATTAGTGAGTGACCCAGCCCTTCGTATCTTTTTCTGTATTTGGCCCTCGGTGAAAAAAGTTTGGATGCCCCTGGTCTACTGTTTAGAGATGAGTCAGAAATGTCCCGTCCCCTGGCATATTACAAAAAATAAATTGGAGGCCTAGCCAAAGCACATAAAACAACCATGCGGATTTACTGACTAAAAATCCCATATCTAATATGGTTTTAGTGGCTGTATTCAAACAGAAAATAAAATGTACTCTCTCTGAGAAAACACTTAAATACACAAAGCTGCAGACAATTCTAATATGGGTCATTGTGTTCTCATGGATAGACTAACTGTCACTACATCAGTGTCCAACACAATTCGGAGATTGACAGTGTGTAAAGTTAATTTCATGAAAAGGAACTTTCAAAAAAGTTCAGATTTTAAGTTATTCCAACAGTTCTCATCAATATGTATA